AGCTGTAGCCTGGCCAAAGGCGCTGCGGAGGGTTTGAAGGCGCCTGGACGTCACCTTCGGGACCCTAAAGAAAAGAGGCGCAGGCCGAGGTGACAGCTTCCGGAGGCTCGGGAGGGGCTGTAGGCTGCATGGCTTCGGACAGGCTAGCTGTAGCCTGGCCAAAGGCGCTGCGGAGGGACCCTAAAGAAAAGAGGTGCAGGCCGAGGTGACAACTTCCAGAGCCTCAGGAGGGTCTGTAGGCTGCATGGCTTCGGACAGGCTAGCTGTAGCCTGGCCAAAGCGCTGCGGAGGGTTTGAGGGCGCCTGGACGTCACCTTCGGGACCCTAAAGCAAAGAGGTGCAGGCAGAGGTGACAGCTTCCCGAGGCTCGGGAGGGTTTGTAGGCTGCATGGCTTTGGACAGGCTAGCTGTAGCCTGTGCTAAAGGCCACAAAGGTGGAGATGCCAATGCCAAGGTTGCACCCTGCGGTGTCCCAGGCGCCTCCCGCCTAGGCTGCGGCTAGGCTGGGGTCGGCGGATATATATGGGAGTTGATCGAAAACCCCGTGTAAGGAGTTTTATGTAAAACAGCCTTTCAGATGTTGTTAGAACCATCCGCGAAAGATTGGCGATGAGGTTCGCGAAAGTATCTTTTTTTTCCGCGAAAGAGTTATCGAAGGTCATCGCTTTCATATGTTTTCCTTTCTACCGGACTGACAAAGAATAGAAATACAAGGCTCTGACGGGCTGTGCAGATGTTTGCCAAAACTACGGCTTTTTGGGGAAAGCGCCAGTGAAATTTCGCGAAAGATCCGCGAAAGTTTCGCGAATGTGCCGCTAAAGTCCAGGTTCCCAGCCTGAGGCCCCCCCAACATTCCCCAAGCTGCATCACCCTGTGTTGGTAGCTGGCGCGAGGATTGGGTTGAGTTGTGCCTGATTCTATTTGGCACAGTTGTCGCACAGATGCTGCAAGTGACCCTGAGTAGCTGTGGAAACGTTCAACCTTCTACTGGGGTCATGCTGCAAGATGTCTGTCCCTATTTTGTGATACTATGACATGTGCCGGCTCATGTTAGCTAGACTCTAGACATGGCTGTAGGACCATGCTCCGCGATGAGGCCGCGAAAGATCCGCGAAAGATATCATTTTTTGCGAAGAGTGGCCATTCCAGGATGAAAAAATATTGATCAACCACCATATATATATATGTATTACTACAGTAATATATATATATATACTATATAGATGTATTATGTATTCAATTAACTATGCGAGCAGAGAGTGCGTCCAAGAGTAGCGCAACTTACTTGTTAGCTACGACCGCAAGCTACCGCCTCACGGTCGCAGTACGAGCGTTCATCCTAGGCCTAAGGCCTGTTATGATATAATCACTTTCGAGTGTTCGTGAAAAATACTTTAACATGATACCCCCGTGTCGTTGCCTTATCTTTAAATCTTTAGATAACTCTTTGCCTTCTTCATGTACAGGGATGAAAAAAGATGAGAAGAGGGCATCGCGGACTTGAACTTACAACAAAACAAGAGAGGATTTTCTGTAGATACGCTATAAGGAAGCCTCGTGTCAGGTGGCACATGTCTACGGAGTTGTAAACGAATAATTACAGACCGCGTTGCATTCTTTACCGGGCGTTCTGTGTCTATGCAAAGCTTTCAGTAGTTGAAGTTTGCATTCGCAGTGTGCAGGATCCGTCTGTTCTTCGACCACTATGCTATGCTCGGAAATCTAACCATCGTGCTGTCTTTTTCGCGAAGCTCACAGTGCCAGGAGACCCTGGAAGATGATGCTGTGAAGGACAAGGCTGTCGGCCGACCACGGCGTGGACACCAGCCAATACATACCGACCAGTATCTCTGATAAGCTTATCAAGGTTATCGTAGAGTGGGCATGATGTAAGTTTGCATGTTGAACCCCCACAATCTTCTCCGCAAACAGGTCTATTATCTTTGGCGAGCCTATGTTTCCAGAGGTTCAACTTACTTTGCTAGCAAAACTCCAGCAACAATTTTGTTCAAAAGGTTTGTTTGCAATGAGATGCATGTCATGGATAGCCAAACTCCCGCACAAAACACATCCGTGATCAGTCTGAACAACACATAGTTCATGGATACTGTAGATAATGTCTCCATTGACTGGGATTAGATGAAGAGTTCTCCATCCATTTCAGGAAGCAAGCAGAACGCTTTTCGGAGAGAGAATAGCAGAAGTTTTTTTTTGTTTTAAAGAACGCCTGGTAGATGTAGAATTCTCCAGTTGAGGAAAAAATCACCACCGAGAAATCTCCATCGTTGCCGATGAACATTTTCCATCTATAGCCAGTCGATGGAGAATTTTCCATCGTCGATGGAGAACTCACCATCTACTCCCATTCGATGGAAAATTCATTATTGAGAAGTTGAACGACATCATTTGATTTGGATGTGGAGCGAAGACGCTTCGGGGTTTTGGTGCAATCACATTTGAAACAACCTTGTCATGACATGGTGATGGGAAGATAACACCGTCTACAATGCACAAAACTACGAGAACTGAGCCGTTGAGGAGTGACTGCACCGCAGAGGCTGCACAAAGAGGGACACCAACCACAGGAGCAATTCCACAACACAGCATTGAACCAAGTACCGCCCATATCCCCTTGTCATAGCATTCCCATTCCCAACCTTGATCAACATACTATATATTCCAAATCCTTGCGTGTGCTGGTCTAAATATTTGCAAAAGGTTCACGGGAGTGTTCCAATCACAGACCAGGTCACAGGCACCCACTGCTTACAGCCTCATGGTTCATGGTGCTACCAGGATGATGAGGAGCCCGCGCCGGGCGTGGTCCTGAAGCTGGCCGAGGCACAAGGGAATGCTGCAGTCCATTAAACACATATTTTCCATTTGAAGTTGCTCGGGTCGTTTTGTTCAGACAAAATCATGATATGCTCCCATGTAAAAATGGACTACGAAACAAGCATTTGCACAAAAAGCTTCCTCTATATCTATATATATGTCAAAGGCATTGTAACAAACTCAGAGATGTGCCATGACGATGAAATAGATGACATCAGAGCAATGCAAGACTTCCACACGGACTTGTCCTGGAAAGAGAGCAGCACGAGAGCCGACAGAATATGATCATCAAGGCTTGGCCTCAAAATTTGGGATACTCAGACAGAGTTAGAATCACAGGCTGGCTTCTCCACAAGTATATATACACGGCATTAAAAGGCAAGGCAAAATAAAAGCACGGATATGGCAATTCTGACCTTCACAGATCCAGAAAAACACCAGCCATTCGAGACGTTTGCACACACCAGTTTCTCCACAAAATGGCCACTTCACCACTGAGATGCACAGGGCAACAAACTACAACATTGGAAACGAGGATGGCACAAGCTGATGCTCACCAACTATTTATATACACCTTATCGAAACAGACCTGTAATTGGCTCTCGTAACCATGATGCCGCTACTGACAACGCACCAGGACACCAGATATGCAGGCGCAACACAGCTACTTGTATTCCACAGAACAACAGACATGCAAATTTATGACCTTCAAGCAGATAAGGTTATCACAAAAGCTACCAGCTACCTATGACAAAGACGGAGGAGTTTTGGGATTAGTTGCGGAGAAGCACCTCACTGAGATCATCCGAAACTACAGGTATGCTCGAACAGCACTCGAACACCACCCCAGATGTCCAAGTTGCAGCAAATACCCAAGTGTTGCCGCATCCAAAGTTGAAAAGAACACAGATGCAGGAGTGACTACGGACTGACATCAGAAGATGGCGGCAGAGCCCACGGAAGCAAGGCACAATGCAGGCAACAATCCCCCAAAGCACCGGAGCACCCCTTATTGTCAGAGATCAAAATTCTAAGGGTGCTTTCCAGCAGCCAACCCAGGACAATGCCCTTTGGGCTTGCTGAAGGGACTTGAAGTCGTACCCCCCAAAATCCAGCTAAACCCATTTTCCTTCTGAAGCGGGAGGGTCAACGTTTTAGTTCATTAGATCAGAATGTAGATGGGCATCGAGATGATACAAGAGAACACGACTCCGAGACTGAGCCAGACAGGTGGCTAAGGTCTTTTTTGCGCGAAAGCAAGCTTCCGAAAAGAGAGGCTCTGACAAGGAACGTTAAAGTCAGAAAGAAATGCACAACTTGGTTTCAAAAAGAACTCCCTTACCATAATAAGAAACACTTCCGAAATTTCTTCGCAACCCCGCAACATTACCAAAGTTTCCAAAATACCCTGGGAGCTTCAGGCTTAGAGCAAATCAGCAGATCAGAGTTGCCACGTTGAATGATCCTGCGAGCAAAACTACAGAGTATGCGTGGCATCCTTTTTGTGTGCACTGGAAGACACAAGTAATTTCCGGAATGCTTAGGGACTGAATCAACCAACGAATCTTGTTGTCAGAGAAGATATTTCATTGGTATTCATTGGTGGTGACTTTAACGCTGGCACTTTGTACGAGAGATTGACACTGGCGTTTGCGGACCATTCCTTCTGGAGAGAGGTATGGAATATTTGCATGCTATGAATGAACCAAAAAAAGAACATAGGGGCGCTTTTCCTGGGGTGGTTCAAAGTGCACCACCTCAGGTTGTGAACAGCCAAATCTCGAAAACGCCTGAGACATTGATAAGCTACAAAGACAAATTCAATACTTACTGATTTTGGATCACCTTTTGATGCTGAGGGATATACACAAGTCGATTTCTGGCTGACAAAGATGCAGAAAGTAGAATTTCGAAGTGAATTATTCGAGGTGAAACTCAGGACGCGTGCGCAAGAACCCAAAACTTGAAAGAACTATCTGAGACCATACGAACAATGGACCAGTTTCAATGCCGTATGTTCTCAATCACCTGGTAGGTAGTCCTTGTGTTTGGACGAGTTTGTTGGAGGCCTTTTGCGTGCTGCCGAATGCAATTTAGAAGCTGCACCAACTGAGAAGAAAATGCATATTTCAAGAAGTACTGGGGCAACAACAGCAAAACGGAAGAGACTTAGGAGCAACGGGGCACCCTCACAAGAGGTAAGACAACGAGCGCAGGCCATTTCTGACTGCTTAGAGACAAAACATTGGAACACAAACTGGATTTCTACCCTGTATGGACAATGGCGCCGACGAACATGCCTAAGAGTAACTGGCAGCCTGGCCCTGATGGCTTGCAAGTGGAATTGGCCACATGGCTGAATTGCAAAGCCAGGCAGCACCTTCTAAGCCTCAGTAACTGTTGGTGGCAACGGACAAAAGCCCCACTGAGCTCTTTGCAACAGCTGTCCCCATTTTCAATACGGAGATGCCAACAAAACAGCCAAATACAGATCACAATATCCTTATCAAGTAGCATATGCAGAATACTACAACATATATAGGATCATGATCCGTCAAAGACTGTAATTTGTAGAATACATGATTTTCCTTGGGCAAAGGGAGATCGTTTAAGCATGGCCCTTCTGGATTGGGAAGACAACCTTTGATCAAGTAGAACATGATAAGGCAACCATTGCCTTGAGACATATGGTTTTCAGTCAACACTAATGTGAGGTCATGCCAAGGCTGCTGCAGCTACAAAGAACCAATTTGGGTTGCAATAGATTCGTTAGGATCATCCAATTACACATGTGTTGCTTACCCATACCTTTTGTATTGCAATATTTGGCTAACACAGTCCGTTAGGTGCAAAATGGAAGAATCCGGAACCTGGATTTCGATGAAGTTTACAAACCTTAATGATTGGCTGACACTAACAGCATCAGGTAAGTACGGATTGCAGTTCAACAAAGATAAGTGCGCGGCGATACACATGAACAATGATGGTCTGGTCACTGGTCATGTTGATGATAGTGAAACGCTCCCCGAAAACATGAAGCGACATGCTTAGGCGATGAAATTATATAACAAGGACACCGACATCAAACATTAAAATACAATGCAAAAAGTGAATGGAACATGGTTCACATTTTCAGCATATTGGAACGCAACTCATGCGGATGTCAAGTGGCAATTGATAGTGCACTCCTTAGAATCAACATGGAACTTGAGGCACAAGCAGTGGCAGTTGGTACGTGAGCGTACAACTCTGGGGAATGCAACAATTCCAGCAGTTACCGGAAAGCAAACAACGATGGAACAGCTACCTCAACGAACTCCTGGGTGAAGCCTTTGAAGGAAGACTCAGAAGCTTCAGGGAGCAGAGGGAATGGTTGGCCTTGAAATCAATGGAAGAAAGGAGATGCAAAGCAAACAAACATGGACATGCAGAAAGGCCCAAACACATGGCACATGTTCTGCAGTTTCATGTTTATTTCAAGCGGTTACCCTTCTCTGAGACAAACATGCGCATTGATCTTTCTTTTTCAATTGTGAGCACCGCATAGCAAGCAAGCATGGAACCCTCGGATGTAGATGAGGTTGCTTGCAAACATGGCACCACACAAGTGTATTTTGTTTCTTTTTTTGTAACATTACAGCTGCTAATAGCGTTAAGGGGCATATTTGAAGCACTGATTCAATCTAAACTGTTGTACGGTCTTGACACTAATCACCTCAGAGGGGCTATGCTGCATAAAAATGCCGCCTTCCAAATACGATATTTGAGGAGAATCCTTAAAATCTAATCGAGCTTCATATATAGATAGGCAAGATTCAAATCGGCAGTTTTTGCAAACATGTGCAGATGCTGTTTGCTCAAATCAAGATGACCAACGGGCATTTGAAGTACTGTATACATTTAGCCAATCAATTCCACTGAGTGTAGAAAATCAAAGCTTTTAGGTAATGTTCTTGGCAGATCCAACGTGTCAACATTCTTTTCAACCAAACCGTGAATTCAGAGTGGAACGTCAAATTGGTCGCCCGAAAAACAATGGTTGCATAATGCAAAAAAAACTGCTTGTGAACAGCACCAACGGTTGCGATTACACTGAAATGGATATGTTATTCAGCCATGAATCGACATTTTAGGACCTATGTCTCCGCCCACGCCTTGCATTTGCACTGTGTTGTAAGGACTTGCCATACTTGTACAATATGATATTGACCCCAAAGATGTTCTATTGAAGAAGGCAGTAGGTTTTCCGCAACTTTGCATCTCTTCTCTCAAACCGCCTGTTGTGCCAGGTCAGTGGATGTGATTTGGACACTTGCTGCGCTGCGCTGATGGGCTGTTCGAGACCTATGGATCGGGGAGAGGGATAAAGAAACAAATAGGGATCGAAAAGCAATACTTACTGTATATATATATAGGAGAGAAAAGAAAGAACGAAAGAAAGAAAGAAAGAACGAAGAGAATGGAAGAAAAGAACAGAACAGACAAAAAGAAAGTAAGGAAGGAAGGAAGGAAAGAAGGCAAGAAGGAAGGAGGGACGGCCGAAAGAAAGACAGAAAGAAAGAAAGAAAGACAGCAAGACAGATGCGAGAGGCTAGTCAATTTTTACGTTCTGTGTTGGTGGGGAAAGGCATTGAAGTACAGCACTGCTTACATGTGAGACGTGATTAAAGCCAACGTTCAGGTGATAGCCAGTAGCCATTCCAAGGTAGCAGGCCTTTTGTGAGCCAACCGTGTGTAGAATTTAGAAAGGAAGGGACCATTCCAACGTAGCAGCCCTTGTGTGAGCCACCTGAGGGCAAAAATCTAAAGGGGGAAGGGTCATTCCAAGGTAGTAGACCTCGTGTGAGCCACTACTACTACTACTACTACTACTACTACTACTACTACTATCTACTTGTTTTGATATCCTTGTTTGTTTCTATCTAGATCCTTGTTTGCCCTTTGTTTCGGTTGCAACATCGCCATATTTTGTTGTGTTGTTGATCCCTGTGTTTGTTTTGATCTTTTTGGGATATTTCGTTTTTGATCCTTCTTTGTTTTTCGTTTGATCCTCCACCCTATCTATCTTTCTCTGTAAGTCCAGTAAGAGCTGCCACGATGCAATGACCAAGTTTTGCGGCACTCCACACCTACATGCATTGCTTCGACAGTTCGCAGTGCTTTTCAGTCCGCACAGCAATGAAACATGCACGCTTGTTTGGACTTAGGAAAACACATCAGCATTCATTGGTTGAAAAGACACTACTTAACACACTTTGGTCATTCTATGATACCGGGCCGAAACGTAACTGTAGCTGGATCAAGCAGGCATCATCATGTCATGGTCACTTTGGGGCATTTGTCACACAGCACGACGCCAAGGTGACAACAACTTTCACGCGGCCCTAGCGCAGCTGCGCTGCAGCTCTACCTTCGAGGTGCACTTTGTGGCGGGTGTTCCTGCCATATACTAACACATAAACCGCAAGCACAGACAGCTCAGACCTTCAAAGGGGCAAAGGAAAAGACCTTTCTGCACGGTCTTTGAAGGTTGACTGCACTATTTGGAAATCATGGTCAAACCGCTGGCTATATAATACTTTTTGGTTACGATTGCCTCCCTGATTTTCAGTCTCCCATGATGACAGGTTGGCGCCAAAGCGCGCGCACAGATGAGAGCAGCCCTGCAGATGTTTCTTTGCTGCTTTAGAGACATTATTTGGCGATTGCATGACCATTCAACCATATGTTTTCTTTACATGTGCAGGTACTGTTTTGAATGTGCTACATGGAACATGTTCCTATGGCTTGAAATCTGAAGCGTCAACAGGCCCCAAGCCTTTGCTGGATGAAGCTGGAATCTGGATGATTGAAGGGACTTACTTAATATTCCAATCCCAAAGTCATTCCTTTGTAATTGTTTCGCACGAAACCGTGAGAGGTATCTGCAGTTGCAAAGGGCTTGACAGTCTAAGGCTGGAGCGCGCGCGTGAGGGCCGCTCGGTGACCCGCGGTGCCCTGGGGAGCGCCTGGGTGGTGGCTGCGGTGATGTTGCACGCTTTCGAGTACATCTTGTCCGGGACTCCAGATTTTCTTGCGTGTGTGAAGCAATTTGTTTCCCACAGTGAAGCAATGTGAGGGGTTTTTCTCAGTGCACAGGTATCGACTCTAGAGTCTAGCGTATGCAGTGTATGACAATGTATAATATGTATGTGACACGCGTGTGTATACAGCATACTTGCAGCATTTTGCAGATGAGTATAGAATATATTAGAATATAACATACTGTAATACTGTAATGTTTGCAGTTTGATGTTTATGCATGGCTCGCCTCACTGGCCATTTGCCTTTGACCAAGCTCTCTTGGAGTTTGACAAACGGCCGCACAACAGGTAACAGAGGCCCCTTGGCCAAGGCCCAGACGGTTCTTGGAGATCCTCTTCGCGCTGTTAGGTGTGCGTTCAGATGGACCATGCGGGCTTGTGGCCTTGCCCCTCGACAATTTTTTTGGTTTGCATCAGATGCAAGTTTTATCAAGCATTTTATCCTCCAATCAAATTGTCTACCCTTTTTGTTTTGAAAGCAGGATCATCGTGCACAACAGGCAAAGAAAAGCCACTCACCAAGTAATGAGCTTTAACTTGTTAACTGTCAGTCTTTAGCTTCAATATCAGAGTTGCGAGTTCATGCAGGCTGTGTGGGGCTCTTTGAAAACTGCGCGGTATAATGCAACATGCAGGGCATGGTTGAACAAACCAGCATGTTGCATGTTTCAATTGTATTTCTGTTCGTAGCATGTTTCTTGTATGTGGTCGCCTTCAGACACCCTCCAAAAAGAATCCATCAATACTGTTACTGTAATGCTCATTTTGTCCCTTTCATAACCGGTGATCAACGTTTTTGGCCCGAGGGTCAAGAACCTCCAGACCCACGCACTCACCATGCTTCTCAGGCTTTTGCCAGTGCTCATTGCTCTTTTAGCAATCGTGGTGCCTTGGATGTTCATTTGCGAGTGGGGAGGTGCATCGCTAGTAGTAACAAGTAACAAGTGCATCGCTAGTAGTAACAAGTGCATCGCTACTAGTAACAAGAAGCTACTAGAAACAAGAGTGGGGAGTGATTATTGGTCTTGGCATATGGTTGGCAGTCGACCACGAACAATGCACCCAAATCAAGTGCAGCTGGTTCGGCAACAGTTTAACAATATGAACTCTTTTGATCCAATAATAATTCACTCATTGCTTCCCGAGAGCATTGGATCCGGAAAGTGATGCTCCAGGCAAACATGTGGTATTTGGGATTTGTATGGATTTGTATTTTGTGGCCTGTGGCGATTCTGAAATGGTGGACTCCGGTAGACAAATTAAACTTTAGGTGACACTCAATGAAGAAATAGGTCGCTGATGGCAACACATTTTGTTAATTTACCTCTGAAGGGATCCAGAATTTGAATGCAAGCAGGACCTAGCTTTTGCAAATAAAGCAGCCTAAGTAATTAAGTTTTTCTATTCTAGACATATAGATGGAAAGTGAGTTGTACTGCTTTTCCGCCAAGTTGACAGCAGTTGGTATTCCACCGATGTTACATTTTCTCTGCGCGATGTAGGTATATAAAAACTGTTTGGACAGGGTTTCAACGTCATCAACCCCGGAGTGTGCGTGTTTGAACCGAAAGCCACAGGTACTTTTGAGGGATCTCGATGGCTTCCTCAATGACGTCTCAGAGAAGTGACATGCTCCAGGTCGTGCACGGCATTTGATGTGGGCAGGAGCCAGAGGGTTTGACTCCCAACAAGTTAGAACCTGTGGACCCGCAGCTGACTGCGTCCAAGCTGTCAAAGACCTTGCTGACCAGTCACTTTCTTAAGTGGGATAACCCTTTGGGCATGGAGGGGCAGTCCAGAGTTTGTATTTGTATCTTCAACAAACAGTGCCAACCTCCACTGCGTTGCTTCAGAAGATGTAGAGGACGCGAGATTCTTCTGCTGCATTGGGATGGAGTCAAAACAGAAATCATGGTGCTTGCTTTGAGACTTACCAACGACCAATGGCAGTATTCTTGAGCCATCTGATATATAATGAGATATTACTGATGTCAATAAAATGACCAGGTCTTTTGGATTTTGCACGTACCAAATCAGGCAGAAAACCCACTAGCTCGAAGAGCAAGGCACTTGATTCCATCCACCAAGGTGGAATATCCAGTGGCCTGAATGTCTACGTGAAGGCCGGAGGGTGACAGCCTATAACTGATGATGTGCACCAGGGCATCGCTTCTAGACACAAGGGCATCGCTACTAGTAGGGCACAGGGCACTCAAGGCACTGGTTCTAAAAGATCTGCGGATGATATGGCAGCAGGAGCCTGAGGTCCGTTTTTAAAACTGCTTCGATTCACTGATTTACTCCCACAAGCCCACAAGCCTTGGTCCGAGCAACTCTGGTGAAAAGAAACACGCTATTTTTCCTTCAAAGGGGGCTTTTTTAAACGGTCCAAACACCTTCTTTATTCTTCTCTTTCTTATCAACTCTGGGCCTTTCTCACTCAGAGGCTTTGAATTTGGCACCTGCGTGTGTAGATCTTTGGGCCGCGGACCCAGGCTGACTGGATTCGGCCAGGGCTGCCAGCAAACAGGCAACGTCATAAGTCATTAGTATATAGAATTGATCTATATCTCTCTCTCTCTATATGTATTATATAGGTTGGCCTCCAGGTAGTTTTGGATGAAAATCCCTGTGTCCTTTGGCGGGAAACCCTGGTTGGACATCCTTTTTGGCAAGATGACCTACTGTAGGTCTGGTTCCATGTCAACGGTCAGGTTGGTTGGGACAGGGAGGTAACTTCCAAACAAGTGAGCGATCATAAGGCTGTTCAGCCAATGTTTCCATTCACTTTGCGATTTTGGCGAAAAGGCTGATCAAGCCACATCGGGCTGGCTGTGTGTGTGGACGAATCAAATCCCTAAGCCCAAGCCCTAAGTCTAACAACCGAAAGTCACCATCCCTATTGTATATATATATATATATAACTAAACTTTGAAACCGACAGAGCGGGGGTGGCAAGCAAGCATGTATGTCCAACTACCGTAGAAGGCACGGACACTTCTTTGCGAAGCAAAGGCCAGACACTCTTCTTTTATTTGCAGGATTGACTGACGTGCACTGCCAGATATTGTTGAATGTTTGGGGTGTTTATATATTTATGTGGTCTAGATACATTGAGCTGCAACGGCTCGGACTCTTGGATTATTGGGCCCGGATAGGATGTGCGTCACTTACTTGGCAAGTTCGGGCATGTGAAAACAAGGCCCGTTCAACCCTCGAAAATGAGACACTGCGACAAGAAACTTGATTTGGTGTGAGACACCTTTGAGGACCCAGCAGCACAACTGTGTTGCGTCCAGCAGATCTCGAAATCTGCTCAGGTCCACTACTGTCAAGCTGCTGCAGCTTCCAGCTCTCCAGAACTGGCTGTTTGAAGCTCAAGGGATCTGGTGTGGCGAAGCAAGTCTCAGCGTGGGGGGGAACACGAAGTGCTGAAATCAGTTGACCACATGAAAACAATGGTTGGAGTTGTTGTACTATACGTGGACGTAGTATAGATCTTCCAGATTCTAGATCAAGCAGTGTTCAATCGGTGGGGATGAGGATCATCAGAACCCTACATTTGCAAGCTGTGATCCTCAGATGCAAAGTCAGGTGAAAAAGGCAAAGAGAAAGGTCAGGGTGAGCCGCACAGCTTCAAGAAGATTAGGGCGAAGGAAGAAGTACATTTATTATCTATTTATTTATTTAGTAATTTAGCAATTTTTATTGAATATATACATATCAAGCAACAAACCGGGCAACACGTCGTAGTGGACTTCCTCATCCATATGTAGACTCTCAACAACAACGGTAGGCTTCTCAAACAGTTCGCAATCCATCCAACCTCCACCTCCTGCGAAAGAATGCTACTTGAATGCCTCAGATAGTGAGCACGGACGTCAGAAAGCAGAGCAAAAAGTAATCTAGAGCCACCGACGAAGTAGTGAAAGGACAGCAAGAAGCCTAGAGCCTATGGTGTCATAGTCCACGATGGCAGGGGAAAGGAGGAAAATGAAAAGGAGGTAGGGCCGTAAGTTAGAGGAGGTTGGGTGGCAATAAGGTTTGCAAGTCATTGGGATGTCAAAGTCCTGGACGGGAAGAAGGGAATAATTTCGGGAAAAGTCATATAATGCTCCAGGCACAGGTGGATGATCAGTCTGCTCTAGCTTCGTTACGTATGGCCGGTATGACGAGGCGTACGCCCCTGCTGCAAAGAAATGTCGGAGTGGAACGGTGAACCCCCCCACCCAGGCATAGTTGACCCTCATCCCCTGGCAGTTGCCACACGGACACGGCCCTTCAAGATCCTGACAATCTTGAATATCCTGTCAGGCTCTTGATAGAAACTGAACACGCATAGTTAATTGCTGGGCAGGCCCATAGAGGAAGCGTTTGATTTGTTGTGTCTAGATTAGCATAAAAACTTGAAGGACAAGTCTGTCAGACATCGGGATGGGCAGTTCTGTGGCAGCTTTCCTCCAGGATGGGCAGCGCCAGCTCTTTGAGAAGGCCATTGAGGCGGTGGGCCATGATTGGAGCCCGGCAGCCTAGTGCAGTGCAGGGTGGCCATGCACGCATCCAAGAGAACACACTTTCGTTCTTGTCGAAGGAAGAGGGTTTCTTTGTGTTCTTGTTTGGATTCACATATATATATATATGTATTAATGTAATGTAATGTGTAATGTGTAATGTGTAATGTGTAATGTAATGTAATGTAATGTAATGTAATGTACAGGATGTAAGGATGTATGGACGTGTGGACGTATGCATGTATGCATGCATGTACATAAATACATACATTTGTATGTATGTATGTATGTATGTATGCATGTATGTATGTATGTATGTATGTATGTATGTATGTATGTATGTATGTATGTATGTATGTATGTATGTATGTATGTATTTTTTTTCTTCTAGAGAGGCAGAGTGCTCAGGCCCTGGTGGCCAGTGTCGGTTGGCCGCTGCTCAGAAGGTGCCGGTGTCCATGTTGGCCATTAGAAGTAGTCCACATCCATGCAAGGGTCATCTTTGTGAGGTTTCCTCCTCACCTTGCTCCTGTGGGCTGTCTGCCATGTGGGAGCTAGCCGCCACTGAGGAGAAACGGAGCTTTTTGGGCACTGGCGGTGACATAGGCCCTGGTACATCCAAGGTTGTTGCTGCCTGCTCTGGAGGTGGCTGGGTCTCTTGGCCAGTTTGGTGGACTGTAGTGGCTTGAGTGCCTGTCTGGCTGTGCTGGCTTTGGGTGCTGAACAACTGCACGAGGGTTGGTGATTTCTGACTCTGACCTTGGCAAGGCCGCTTGAGGGCCTTGGTCAGGATCACTCTGTCCTCGGCGTCAAGGTG